AAAACCTTTGCGCAACACAAGTATTTTCGTCGCGCAAAGACTTTTTGCGTGACGCATATGTTGTCGTTGTGCAAAGTCCTTTTGCGCGACGAAGGTTATGCCTTTGTCGCGCAAACCCTGACGTCACGACCTTTGCGCGACGTTTTTCGCATGACGAAGTTTTGGTTGGGCTAACTTTTTGGCGACATTTTTTGACTTTGCATGACGAACTATGCTTCGTCGCGCAAATTGTTATTTATATTAGTATCAGTAACTTCATTGATTGATTTTCAATTTGAGAGACCATTGTGAGTGGGTGGGTCAATGTCATAGGTTATTTGTGATAAAGATCCTTTAAAACAAATTTGTCTGGTATATTATTTTATTCAATTTTTTTTGTTTTCATAAAATATTGAAATTAACTAAATTACTTAATTTTAGTAGTATTAAAAATAAAATTACTTAGTTTTTAATAAAAATAAAATATTAAATAGAAGAAAGATGCTTATCAACACCTAAAATACTCTCCACAAAATATCATTTGGTGTTGAACAAATCCTTAATTTATTGATCAAAGAGTTAACGAATAGAAAAAAAAAATACAAATAAGGAACATTATTATTGGATGAACACATGGTATGTGCACAAGAATGTCACAAATCATATCTCTCAATGGGATTGATGTAATTATTCTGCATTTTGTCCTTCTTCTTCTCCTTTGCCTAACACTGTGAGATGGTCAACTGCATGCGAGGATGGTTTGGACGGTGAATGGAGATGGTGATGGCGATGGTAAGTTTATTTTTTGACAGCGTAATTTGGACATGTAAAAGGATCCTTTTCCTATAGATTTTAAGGATCTCGTGATTATGACCGTTTATCGTATATTTTGTGGTCAGTTTTCGTTAAATACTATTTTTATTTAATTTTAAATTTCAAAATGATTTATGACAAAAAGATGTATGATAAACAGTCATAATCACGAAATTCCTAAGATCTAAAAAAAAAGGATTCGGCGAGGATCCTTTACCTTTGGACATATCATCTGATGTGACTTTGGAGCTGGCTTGGCTACTTTCAACATCTCAATCCGGCTGTCTGGTCATGGCAATAAGCCCAAACCTACTACATTCAATAATGTCGATCATGTAGTGTTTAGAATTGAATTAGAATAAACAAATAATTTACCATGTTAAAAAAGGGCCATGTTTTGTAAACGTCTACATTCAATAAACTTGAAGAGTTAGGGTTAGGGTTTGTCCCTAACTTAACTCAATCGTAAAGTTCTATTGACTCATAGAATTCTAAGAACATCTCTAAAAGAGATAAAATGTCCAAATCAATAGTAACGTTTAAAAAAGATAACAATAATATTTGTTAATCGAAAAGCTAATTTTAATGTAGCATGTTGTGAATTGGCAGTTATAAGTTTTGCCACCAAAATTGACAGAAACTTCAAATTATTTTTATAATTGAGTATTAAGTGTTTCTTACATTGTTGTTATTGTTTTCCAATTGATTATTAAATGCTTTTAATTTAAAATATTGGATGAATAACTAATTTTAAAAAAATGTCAATATTGGGTGAATATTTTTGCTCACTACCCTATATATCATAATTGAGCTTAAATATCAAGATTTGTGTAGTGGTTAGACACAAATCATAAAATTTAAACTCATCTAATGGTAATAAGTAGGGTGATGAGCTTTACCATCACTTGAAGATGATGGACAAAAATGCATCCTTTCATTAATACATGTCCAAGTTTTAATCCTCCTTTTTTTAACCCTACTTGCAATTTAGCATATATAGAATCATAAAAGGAAATTTAAGGTCATGGTAAAATAAACAATTATACAAGTTAAATATTAGGGCCATGATGACTTACCACCACCATCACAAAATGCCTCAGTTATATTAAACGTGAACATTTCACATTGTAAACTATTTTGTCGTATCTCTAAAAGGGGGACTATTCTCTAAATATATTATCAAATTGTAAAAATAAGCTACTTGAATTTCAAAATGATATTAAGTGCATAAAAGAAAACACACTATTTCGAACTATCTTGGTTAAGGGCTAGTTTGGTATTGCTATGCTTTTTAAATAATTGTTTTTATTGTGCTGTGAAAATACATAGTTGTAAAAAAAAATTGTTGAGTGTTTGATATTTTTAGTTTTTTTTTGTAAAGGTTTTTTCAACAAAAAATAGTGTCTGAGTGTTTGATAAACTTTATATAAATTGCTATGAAATATGTTAAAGGACTAAAAAAGATATGGCATTTAATGTAATATAATAATTATCAAAGAGAATAATGTAGAGACGATAGTTCTAATTTTATAAAATATGTAGAGGTATAGTTGCAATTTAAAATTTCCATTAAATGCACATTGATTACCAGGCTTTGAATAAAAATAACAATTTTTTTAAAGCATCCAGATCTTGCTTTTACTTTTCTGGACAACAGTTTTTTTAATTTTGTTTAATTTTTACCAGACACATTTATTGTTTCAGATTTTTTAATAGAGAACTTTAAAAAAGAATTTTGGTATTTTTCATTTTAATGAAAAATAAAATTTTTACATTAAAAAGTTAATTATGATATTATTCATTTTACCCTTTATTTTATCCTTATAGTTAAAACTCAAAATTTTCAAATCATTTTCATTAATTATCTTTTTTTAATAAGCTGTTTTTTTAAAAAAAAAACATTACAATTTTAAATCAGCTCTAACTCCAACGTCATTGCAACTATTTGATTATTTTGATTTCTGTAGAAATTCAACACTTAATTACTTTCATATTAGCAGACAGACATGAATTGGAGCTTAAATTGGTTAATTATACCTAAATAATTAGTAATGAGTCAAACCTAGGCATAGTACATTGGCAAACCTAGATAATTAATTTAATGATGATGCATCACCTAAATACAAGCAATTTACAAACTAAGGGTATGTTTGGTATTGCTGTGCTTTGAAAAAAACTGTTTCTGCTATACTGTGAGAATAAGCTCATTTTTGCTGCTTCACGTTTTCAGCTTTTTTTCACGTAAAACTATGAAAATAAGCTGTTTTTAAATATTTACCAAATACCTTTTTAAACTCAATTTTTTAATACCTACTTTTTATTTTATTTTATAAAAATACATCAGTACCAAACCAGTACTAGTCTGTCTGACATTATATTCATCTCCAAATTCCAATCCATTTGCCTCTCAATCTCGATCAGCTCACAAATCTAAACCCAAATTTGGATCCAAAAATGACAAAACAGAGAGATTTTGTGAGGGGACTGGGACTCCACGTTTAATTAACGAGAAACGAGCAGATTAGTACACGTGGTTGAGGCACATCAGCTCTCCATTAGCTGGGCACCACCATTTTCGAACCAGGATCCTCTCCTGAGCAATTCCCTAGGGATCCCGCAATCTTGTCCGTTCATTGTATATCGTGCGGTCAGAAATCATTTAAAATTTAAATTTTAAAATCCAAATATGAATAGTACCTAACGAAAACTGACCGCACGATATAAAATGAACGGACAAGATTGAAGGATCCCTAGGATCCCTAGGGAATTGCTCAGGAGAGGATCCTGGTTCACCATTTTCATTAATGGCGCGTTTACTAATCCGTAATCAAATTGAGAGGAATTGAATTGAGGAGGAATTGGATTGAAGAGGAATTGAAATGAGGTGGAATCAGAATCAGATTCCTGTTAAAATTGTTTACTAAAACTGTCTAGAATCGGAGTAGGAATGATGTTGAATCCATATAAGTTGTTTACTAATTCACTTCAATCGGAATGAAAACTAGGTTGATTACTAAATTGCCCTTACATAAATAAATTATTTTCATACTAATTAATTAAATTAAATTCTTAATTAAATTTATATAATAAAATTCATCTATATAAAAATATATAAATAGGTTTTATTTATTTATTAAAAGATGGTAGAAATGATGTTGAGTCAATATAAATTGTTTAATAATTCACTTTAATCGAAATGAAAACTAGGTTGATTACTAAATTGCCCTTACATAAATAAATTATTTTCATACTAATAAATTAAATTAAATTAAATTCTTAATTAAATTCAACTATATAAAAATATATAAATAGGTTTTATTTATTTATTAAAAGATGGCATAATGAGTGTCAAATGAAGGGCAATGTTGGGATAATAAGAAACAAGTGAGGGCATAATTGGTAGAAGAAATCCATTCCGGATTCCTCAAGTGTCAAGGAATTGAAATACCTCCCTCATGTAGAGAGTCCAATTCCTAAAAAATTAGGAGTTGGATTCCTTAATTCGTGTGGACCCCACATGTATTTTGATTCCCCAAGATTACGTAAACAAAGGTGTAACCTGTAATCGGAATCTAATTCCGTAAATTGATTCCGATTACGGGTACGTAAACGTGCCATAAGAGTGGTGATAGAATAATGAAACTCCACGCACTGCCAGATAGCGAGGTATGCACGCGCCGTGAAGTAGAGAAAGAAGGATTATGGTTAAGAGCAGTTTTTTGTTGTATTTGAAACAGAGTCACACAATGTTAAATTGGTCTTTATTAATATAACATGTAAAGTACATTTATTCTATCGTTGATCCTATAACATGTAAAATAGTATAACGAGTGAGTTGTATTCCAGATATTTGTAAAAGGGTAATGTTAGAAGACTAAATTTATAAGATAAAATTTATAAATTAAATAATTTATCATTAATAATCCAAACATCAATTTTTATATTATTTAATTTATAAAATTTAATTTATAAATTTAGTCCATAACACTACTGTAAACAGTTGTTATGGTGTTGAATACAGGAGCAAACTATTTGCCCTTATGAATGGTGGGGTCTCTTATGTGACTTTAAAGACTCAACAAAACTACAAAAATGAGAGAACAAAAGTCTTTATACTCTCTCTCTCTCTTCCTCTTACTTTATTGCCCTTTGTCTCTCACCCTATGCTATTTGTTGTATTGCTATTCAGCTAAGTGATTATTGGAGGGAGAGAGAGAGAGAGGGGGGAGCCCACCTCCTTCTCAGTTGGCTTTCTAGGAAACATGTTGAGGAAGGGTTTCTAGGGGGAGAGAGAGAGTTAAAGAAAAAGATAAAAAGAAGCTCATCAGTACTACTAGCTCAGAGAGAGAGAGAGAGAGAAGAAGAAGAAGAAAAGAAGAAGAGAAGAAAAGAAGAAGAGAAGAAAAGGGAATGGATGGATATGGATCCACAAGCAGAAGCAGAAGCTCCCTCTCCATCTGTTTCTATTTCTGATCAGAAGTAACCAACTTTTTCTTCATAAAAAGCCAAACGAGTGACAGTGGAAGCAGCAGCAGCAGCAACGGAACCACCAGTGGCAGCACCACCACTATTCCAATTACATATATAAAGTCACACACAACCAACACAAGTCTCCTAGCAATAGCTTTATTCTCACGTCGATCCAACAACCTTCTGTTGCGCCAATTCTGATCAAGTTTCAGACACCAACTTTTTCATACAAACACATAACACCCACACATAGTTTTTCTCCCTTCTCTCAACTCTCATCCTCTAATATATATGTGTGTGTGTGTGTGTGAGAGTGTGAGTTCAGAAGAAGAAAGAAGAAGAGAATATAAAATTTGAGAAAACTGCGTAGGTTTTGAGCTAGCTTAATTTATTCAGTAGTTGTGGCTACTACAAGGAGGCTGCCTTCCGATTCGGGTGCTTTTGCAGATTGGGTGGGTTCATCTTCTTCCAACAACGCCGCAGCCACAGGACGATCCACAACCCACCATCCCGACATCGACGTCCTCTCTCTCGGCTTCAATGCTGGCCCCGCCCCCGCTGGACCCTCCTCAGCCACCCCCTCCACCATGTCCATGTGGTCCTCCCCCCCTTCCAGCAGACCCCTCACCTACGGCCACGTCCCTCCGGAAATGGCGGGCATGGTCGGCCTTCGCGATGTCTTCGTCGTTGCCCCAGCCGCCGCCTACCACCACAACACACATCTCCACCACCACTACGGCCACGACCCCAATCTCCTCTCATCCTCCGACCATCACCACTCCATCAATGCCTCCAACAACCCTGCAACCGCTCTCGGCGTCGGAGTCATTCCTCTTCTCACGGCCGCCCCTTGCCTCGCCCCACCCAATATGTCAAATGTCGATGATGATGACGAAGATACTCACACTCCTGCGGGTATGAGTATGGGCATGGGAATGAGTATGGGTATGGGTATGATGAGTGGCGGCCATCAGCGCAACAACAGAAGCTCCTCGGCAGCAGCAGCAGGAGGAGGGGGAGGGATTCAATTGTGGCAGCAGAACCCGCCACATTTTTTCAAGAAAACTCATCATGAAGCCGCCGTTACTACTGATCTAGGCGTGGCCCACTTAAACCAAGGTGGGGGTGGGGGAGGGAATAACGTTATAAACGCGGGGTCTGCTGCCGCCTCGTCGGGGTCGTCCACGATGACGTGTCAAGACTGCGGGAACCAGGCCAAGAAGGATTGCACGCACCGGCGGTGCAGGACGTGCTGCAAGAGCCGGGGTTTCGACTGTGCGACTCACGTGAAGAGCACGTGGGTGCCGGCGGCTCGGCGCAGGGAGCGGCAGCTGATGTCTGCAGCGGCTGGCGGTGGGGCTGGGTCTAATTCTGGGTCTACTTCTAGTGCCAAGAAGCCTAGACTCATTGGCGCCTCTCAAACCACAACTTCTCACACTTCCACTTCCAACACTACACCCCCCAGAAGCTACGACACCAGCTCTAGTCACCAAGGTTTCACCCCTTCTCTCTCTCACTAGAATCAAATATATATTACTTGACTATCTAGGGTTTTGATTCATTTGTATCAATTCATTAACAAAAATGTACAATCAATATAAATAATGTATTTACATGATGCGTACAGATGCTGGTTTCAAAGATCCATTGCCGGGACAAGTACGTGCGCCGGCGGTTTTCAAGTGTGTAAGAGTGACCGCGGTGGAGGACGGCGAGGATGAATACGCATACCAGGCTGTTGTCAAAATTAACGGTCATGTGTTCAAAGGCTTCTTGTATGATCAAGGAGTTGATGGGAGAGACGGGTTTCCTAACATCTCTGAATTGCATTTGGGGGGTGGTGGCAATGGCAGAAGAAATGGGGCTTCTTCTCCGATCCTTGACCCGTCGGATGTTTATGCTGCGTCTGGTGCAGGATTGCTGGGAGGTTCAAACTTTGGTAATCCAATAAATTGACGATATCTTCTTCCCAACTCTGTGGACTTAAATAATTAGGTACCCCTACCCCTTATGGTGTTGAAGGGACAACATTGTACTTGTCTGATTTTTCTTCCTACTAATTAATGATTAATTAATTAAAACTAAAATCTTATGATGTGTTAATATTTGAAATTTGTATTTTATTTACATGTTTAGGAGTCCTTTAACAATTATTTTGTTTTCATTTTTTTTTTGAAAAATGAAAACTCGATTGTTAAATGCTTTCAATTAACCAATTTTTTCGTATTTTTAAAATATGACTTTCAATTTTCATGTTTTTTGTTAAAAACTAAAAACGGTTGTCAAATGAGTGAAAACTGAAATAGTTATCAAGTAATCCTTTAATTTCTCCCCTAAATGTTTTCAGATTCACGGTTTCTGGTTTCTAGTTTCTAGTTAATTAGTTGCATTTGCATTAGATGCACTGAGAGGATTAAATTAAACAAACTGCATTTTAAGATGAAAATACCATTAATCGATTCCCAAAGATATTGGTGTTATTTCTTTTTTAATCTTTTTTCCTACACATGGACGCTGCATTTTGCTTTCTTCTCGTCTGCTTGTTTCCTGATCTTGTTCTTTCTATTCATTACACTTTGCTTGTCAAAGGTGAAATCTACAGTGTAAAGTATTCTCTAATTATTTTTCATAAGAAAAGAAAAAGTATAGAAATTATCCAAAGTATTTTGGTAGACATGGTATTTATTATTCCAACATTTTCGATGTTTGCTAGATGTTAGGAAGACTGAATTTGTAGATTAAATTTTGTAGACTAAATGATATGGAAGTTGATAAATGGATTATTACCTGATTAACGTCCTTATTTCTTATTGGTGATACGTCATTTAGTTTGCAAATTTAATCTTCAAATGCAGTCTACCTAGTATTGCTCATATTGTCACTTCGAAGGCTGATTTGCTTTCCCTATACATTTAACCCTTTGATTAATTTCTGTCTAGGTGTAGGTAGCTTAGCTTGTTCATCGACTATTAAGGATAGGCGTAAATGTGGCAATGGTGATAATTGTAGACTTGGGTAGCAGTAACGGATCTAAGATTCAAACTTTGGAGGTCCTAGTGTTAAAACTATGAGGGTTTCCAAAAATATTTCAGTATATATCGGGGGCATCTCGTGAAACACTTGCTTGGAAGTGCTGCTTTAGACTCTTAGGCTCTTAGCATGAAAGAATGAGAGTAGTTGTAATGTTACCATCATTTGTTGCCAAAGAAGAAAAAGCATTTTATACAAGTCCTTTTCCACCCACTTTACTACTTTGAGCATCTCTTCACTATTTGGACAATCCTGCATTTGCATACGTTTATCAACATTATGGGTAATGTTAGAGTGATTAAATTTGTAAACAAAATTTACAAACTAAATGATGTATCACCAATAGAAATGAACACATTCATCAACACTTTAAGTCATAATCCAATCACCTACTTTCATGTGATTTAGTTTGCAAAATTGTGTGTACAAATTTAGCCTCCCAAGTACTACCCCAACATTATATATCTCTTGTTTCTCCTTTGTATTCTAGGATGCCAAATGCTTTTTAATTTATATATCCAAATTAATTCTAATATATTATACTCTCTTTCAGCCTTTAGGTTGTTATAATTTTAATCTTTTATCTGTAAACATTACCTAATTTTCATGTTTTATTGTTCCCGTATACATATAGGGAAATAGTAATCACACATCATTGTTGTCCTCTGACAAGTTTTGTTTTGAGTTAATCTGTTGTTTCTATTTGATTTATTCAATATGATAACCAGAAATAATAAGATCATGTTTCAAGAGATGTAAGACAACCAGTCGACTGTCAGTGCACCATCGATCGATTATTGGTTGTCAAATCTTGCGAAATGGATCCCATCTCCAATTAGTTTAAATTGGAACTCTCTTTTTCTCTTTTAAAATTTCGGATCATATATATGGTACTGTAGCTAGCTAGTACATTCTTGCATTCATGTACAGAAAAATAAAATAAAGAACATTTTCTCTCTTGTTCCTCTACTGAATGCTTGCTTTACGATTGAACAATACCTGTGCATTGTATGGAACAATATTATTTATACTTTTCTTTCTCTCTTTAAAATTTCGTTATTTCCTCAATAGTATATGTTGCCCTAATATATATATATATATATATATATATATATATATATATATAAGTTGCTTAATAGCTGGATAAGTGTTGTCCAGAATGCTTATTGGGTTTCTTGTGATGACTCTTTATTCTTTTGTGATTGATGCTGCCGCAGATTTGGGTGACTTTTTTGTTTTAGTTGGAACCTGGAAGTAACGTTGCATACAAATGTTGACTAATGCTGATTAATTAAGGGCTAATGAAGAAGGTGTCTAAATTCAGTGCTTATTACTTAGATTTATCTTCCCCTCACATGCTGTCTCCTTGACTTGTCTGCGCGGGCGCGCGCACACACATATATATAACTAGATTGGTTTAATCCTGTGGGTTTCCTTCACATTCATTTTTTGTTTTATATTAATTTTCCCTATTCTGCACATGATCACCTCTACTAAGTATAATCATCTTCAGTTAATAAGAAAATAAGTATAATCACCTTAATTATATGACATGCCTTTGCTTTTCTCTCTCTCTCGTACACGTAGATGTATAACTCTTATCACCTGCTATTCCGACTATTTTGTGTATTTTATTCTTTTTCCCGAGTCTCTCTCGTAACATTTGTCCCGTCTTCTTGTTGGCTGCATGTACCTGAATTGTATTCTTATATATTCATCCTTCAGATCTATGCACTTCATATACATATATATGCAGCTCGAAATTTGATTCATTAATATAAGTTGGCAAGGTGCTCATTGTTTAGGCTCTTCCTGCTCGTTCCATGATTTGTTTCCAATCATTGTCTTTCAGATTTGATTAATTAACATAAAATGTCTTTAATAATAATAATAAATAAGGTAATGCTGCATGCTAGGGAGCTAGCTTAATTTGTTCTGATTGAAATTATGTTTTCATGAAATTTCACGTAGAACATATAAAACAGTGTAGTTTGAGTTAGACGACAAATCTCTAAATTGTAGATGCAGTATTACGTACTTTATCATACTAACTAATAATTATCGAATAAAACCTAGATAGTTACCTGTTGCATTCTGTAATTAGGGTTAAGATGATGCATATCATGCCTGGGTTTTGGAAAGACGAAACTAGCTAGCTAGGGTTGTGGTTAGAATGTTAATTCTTTAGTAACTTGGGCAGACCTCCTCGCATTGATTCATGTTAATGAAAGTATAGCAACCTTGTGTCTATTGTTAAAAATAAAATAGAAAAATTGTTGAATCCTCGCTTGTCACACTGTATGTATGATTATAAGCTCGTTTGGTAGACATGATTGGATTAGGATTAAATTGAAATGGAGAACTTGCAAAGTTCAAGGTATATTAATTGAAGGTGCAAATGAAGGATTTTTCATTTGGAGAGGAGTAGAAAAGGAATAGCCATAGCCATGCAAGATATTCATCCTTTCTAATCCAACCATTTTAAGGAGGATTAAAATAGATGAAAAATTGAAAGTTTTTTCATGAATAATCCATCTTCCATCCAGCCTCTAGGTGGTTGTAATTTTATAATATCTACCTTTGACTTACCTTTAATATAGTAGATTATTTATTAGAAAAATTAATGAAAATGGTTTGAAAACTTTGAGTTTAAATGATGAGGACAAAATAAAGGGTAAAATGAATAGTATCAGGTTTGAATTCTTAATGTAAAAATATGGTTTTTCGTTAAAGTGAATAGTACCGTGAGTTTTTTGGTTAAAACTTCCTTATATATTCCATTTCAATCATGAGTACTAAACGAGCATATAATTTTGATATTGAGTATGGGAAAATGGTAATAACATTTTCAGTCATAATGTTGTTTATTCCACTTTATTTCTTTTATGTAACGTGAGGTTTAATTTCTATCTTGGTGACATTAAGGAAAAGTTTACATTTCTGTTGACCAAGGTATATAGAAAAGTAATTGATCTCGCTAGTCCGATCAAAATTTGGTGAATTCGTTTTCTATTTTTTTAATGTCATATGAATTTGTATACATTTTTCAATTTGTCATATGAATTAAAATTTTAAGCAATTTGTCATATCATCTTTTTGAAATCATGAAATTGTTGTTTCATTTTAGCACTATTAAGTTTTCCATTCAAAATACTTGCACATGACTTGTGTTTGGTGTGATTTCGGACATTTGACCTCATTTTTCATTTCATTATTGTCATGAGCAATAATTTTGTAAAAACAAACAACGTGAGTTTGATTTTTACCATTGTTTTAAAGGACATCTATATTTCAAGAACATATGATACTATACTGTTGGAGAGAAACTCGGTAAGTATTATATCATGACATTATATTAGTTTTCCTTTTTTAGTTTGTAGAAACCTTAGATTGTTGTTTCGCCAAAAACAATTTTTTAAAAAGGGAGTGGAGAGTTGAAATGTCTTAAATAATCCTAAACGCAAGTCATATGGAAGGCACAAGACTTATTTTGAATGGAAAACCTCATGGAGTAAAGGGCTTATGACAAATTAATGATTTCAAAAAGTTGATATAATAAATCGTTTAAAATTTTAGTTCATATGACAAATTGAAAGTGTATACGTTCATATGAAAATTTTAAAATGTCCTAATTTTATTTTTTTTCCTTCTCAATTAACCTTTGAATGGTACCAAAGAAAGTTTCCTTAAATGGATACCTTAAATATTAATATGAAAATTGCTGATAGAAAATATAAGGTATATAGTGAGAGTGTGGGATGTGAGGGTATTATAGAAAAGTAAATGGGGTGTATTAAGATATGTTTTAATTAAAAAAGCAAATGTGAGGTGTATTTAACAATATGTGAGGCTTCAATAAAATCAGCCAATTTTAAAATGACCTAATTTTATTTTTTTCTTCTCAATTAACCTTTGAATGGTACCAAAGAAAGTTTCCTTGAATGGATACCTTAAATATTAATTTGAAAATTTGATTTTTTAGCAAACGATATCATCTTTGCCAAAGGGTTAGGAAAGTGGATTAAGCCTCATAATGAGTTAGCAATAATTTAATTCAAATTC